AAATCAGTTGTATTGATATATTTTCACAGAACGACGCTTCAGATTTGGGAATACATATGGAGACACCACACGGTCGCTTCCAATCTGTTACGACAGCAACGGATATTCACAAGCAAAATACATCACTACTCCAGTAATGTAGTGTCTGCGCATACGCGAAGTGTGTGAAATTAGGAATTTTATAGTTACAAAGTCATACATTCAAGCCTGAGATAGGCGATTTTGCAAAACAAATGGAAACACAGTTGTAAATCTTTTTCGCGCCTTTTTATGCGGATGGAAACAGCGCGCGCGCGCGTTTTTTCTCATACTTGAAATTAATTTCAGCGACGCGCGGATATTTTGTGCATGTCTCTAAAAGGGAATGTCCCAGAGTTTAAAGTGCAGATTATAATTGAAAATTACGCGCATTTCCCGTAATTAGATCCCGTAATTAGATATTTAATGTAACGTACGTATTCACGACTTCATTCTGACTTAAAGTGTTCAAAACTTGACAAAGAATCGGTATAAAAAAATTATTAATAAGTTTGGTCAAAATATGGCCTTTTTCATCGGTATATATTTTGTCGTGATTGAAATAAAACGCACGCACCACACAAGACAACAAAGTTAGAAAGCTATAAACGCCTGTTTAGCAGAATATTGATAAGCACGCTGCGAAAAAGTGGTAATTCAGAATCATCCATGTTGGTAGTAACAACTCTTTCAAGTAAATTTTGTCAGCCGTTTTCTTAAATGTGACATTGTATTAAAACACTTGGCTTGATAAATTAGAGATAGTAGAGAAAAAACCCTCATAACTTGTCAACTACAATGTAAATTGGAATGAGCTGAATCGGGCCTAAAAATGGGGCTGAAACGCAAGGTAAAAATACCGCCCCTATTTATGGGGCTAAAATAGCTTTTTATGGAGCTAATTTAGCTCCTATAACCCAAAATGGCCCCGTATAGGGCTTATTTGTCTTTTTACATTAAGGGCCCGTTTTGGGTTTTGGGGCCGAATCAGCTCTTTTCAATTTACAGTGTATAACAGACATAACACACTTCTAGACTTTCTAGTCCATACAGTCTCTAGTGATATGGGATACAAAACTCTATTAAAGAAAGCTCACAAGTCTCTGACACTGTATTAATTAAGATGGACTGCCTAATGGGTACTAGCAATGGTCCATTAATTTTCTTAATTTTAAAATTAACTCATTATTTATATATGTATGTATAAGTAAAGTTCACTTGATGTAAAACAAATCATAAGAATGTTTTTGAAATATATTTAGTTTTTGTTATTTTTTGTTCAATTTTTGATGGAGTCACATTCAAAAGTA